AAGTAAATAAAACTTCAGCTAGTCAATTGTGTGCTTTGATTAGAAAAAAGCTGCGTGATTGAAATCAGTAGAAGCACGAAAACATAAAATGATGTATATACCTTCTAGGAGTTCTTATTTCTGGTCCTTTCAAATGCTCGATTTTTAACTCTACTATTTTAGGTTCCCTTAGAAGAGGAAAATCATCATGAAATAAAAATGACACAGCTCAAATTTAACTTACCTGTCACGTCTATTGCAATTTGGTTTTTGCTTTTCTAGAACCCCGCAACCTTGCCTAACTTTCTGCCCGTGCACCTTGTAGGGTAATTTAAGGAAAGCTGTAATATTATAAGACTAAGATTCTAAAATATATACACTCTAAATTCGTGCACACCATTATTCTAGCCCATTACCCCGATATTCTTGAGAGCACGTATTCTTTCTAGGAACGGTTCGAAAGGCTTTCTGCTATTGGTCCCGGTTTACTTAAAACTATGCCTCTAAAGAGTACTACAGCATTTCTTAGGCAGAGCTCGCAGTTATAAAAGAAGCTGCTATTTCGGTAATTATCTATTCTGATAACCTAACGGCTGTCTCGTCACCGGACTGCTCAGAAACCTCATTAATAACGGCGCTGAAATACATACAAGATCTTAACAAGCTCGCTACTAAATTTGTTAAAAGCAGTGTTGCCAGAATATTTTTGTACGCCATCCCCATATCGGGCCGCAGTTATCCCCGAAAAATCCCCATTTTTCTTTTAAATCCCCTTTAGTAAGAAAGAAAAAAGCATGTATTCACATTTGTGATAGTTCATTTTAATCCAGTTTTCATTTTAATACAGTTTTCATTTTAACACAGTTTTCATTTTATTACAGTGTTGAATACTTTTCTCCACACATTTTCACAAATTTTTATATGTATATGTACATACGTACATATGTACATATATGCATGAGGTCGTTTGGTTATACGTACAACTATGGTCAGAGATTTAGCACCAAAATTCAAAGTTATATATTTTTACAAAATATGTTTATTTATTTATTTTTACTAATTTTCTTTTAAAATACAATTCAATCTACAACAGAAACAGCATAATTAAAAGTTTAAAATCAGAAAGTAATCAAACTTTTTTAGTGTAATAAAGTACAAGTCTCAAATAGCTAAAGAATACCATTTATTTTTTAGAATTTCTTTCGTGGAGGTTGTTGCGAAAATTGTTTGTTCAGTGAAAGCCAATCGAAGCAGACATCTGCGCCGAATAATGCTTTGACGGCGTTAGGAAAACCTTACAAACATATCGCGCAAAAAGTATGTACTAATAAAATCTTTAATCGAGAAATTTTTATGGGCAGCCAGAAAAATATATGTTTTAATTTCAATATCAAAGTTTTGAACCAAACAAAAATCTCCATAAAATCCCCGCATCCCTAAAAGAAAAAATCTATCCCCAAATGGTTTCATAAATCCCCAAAATGGGGCAAAATCCCCACATCTGGCAACTCTGGTTAGAAGCAGTGTGTGGAGCCCACGTCATAGAGACTAACATGCGTAAAATAAAATTGCTTGGTAAATAAATAACCTTGTGAAAATGTCCGTCTGAAGTCAACTCCGCTAATCAATCGGGCATACCAACCATAAGAATCATGGCTTAAATCACACTTGTTAGAGCAGGAAAATAAAATATGGTCGATAGAAGCCAGCCAGAAGCTTGTAGGACGCCCGGCAAATCTGGCCCAGCTTCGACAAGCAAAGATCCGACACACTCATTTCTCTAGAATGTTTTCTACTGCCGTAAGTAATCAGAATTGCAACCGGCTATCGCTTAATGGGAGGCATGCTATTAAACTAGGCCTGCTGGTCAACTCAGGCATCGAACAGTGTTTCAACTATATGGAGGCAGAAGATATAAGTCTTTTTACGATGAAATGGCAAACCCAATCGAGCCAAATTTATAATAGCACATATCTGAGCAATGTGCGACCGTTTATTTAGAAAATAAAAACTCTAAAAAAACACTATTTTTGAGGATCTAACAATGTGCGTTGATGTAAAAAATATTAGTTTCTAAGATTTTTATACCAAATATGCAATAGTGTGCCCCTTCTATTCCCAATTCTCAGGCTTTTCTGAATGGTGTAATGCATATATTTTCGTTTTTAAGAGAACATTTTTGAGTGAACTTTCCGTACTTTGAGCCACTAATTGTAAGCTTAAATAAGTATGGAAGAAATGCTCCACAGATGAAACAATGAACTGGGTTTTTATTAAGTGAACCTCCTTGTTTCAAGAAATTTTAATCCCTCAGCCGTGTCTTAACTAATTTTCTCTCCGAATTTAATTCTTTGCTCAACCACCGCAAAATCACAAAATTTCATTGAACTGAAATTGAAAATATTGTAGCTTACTGCAGCCTTATTTTATTGATAGAAGCAAAACAAGCTTAATAACTGTGGATATCGAAACAATATTGTCGATATTCACACATAAATAAATATAAATTTTTGTATGTACATAAGTACACAAACAATGGAGTACCAACTCATTTTCTCGTCCTCACCCGCTGTGCTAATTCATGGCATTATAATTCGCTCACACCTTGAAGGGAAGCTCATAACTTATGTGCATATGTACATATGTATGTATGTATGTATGTATGTAAGGTTACGCATAAAATATTGAAAATTCATCAGCCATTGTGAGAAAACGGTCTGACGTTGTCAAGCAACCACCAATATTGAATATAGCTCCAAGACAAAAAAGTAAATGCCAAGCGATTGCAAATCTATCTATCATCTACATACATACATGTAGTATGTACATATGTACGGTTGAGTGAGTAAACATCGAATGGCATTTGCGCCATCAAAATTAATTAAAATTTAATTAAAATGTTAAAGTTGGCAGTCATGCAAAAGCGAGCGCCATTGGATGTTCTATCATTAAATATTTGAGTATGTGTTTGTGTAGTTGAACTATTTATGTATTTACCCTGCAGGGAAAGCTAATAGTTGTGAACTAGAATTTTAACAGTTTGCGTTTCAGCCCTGACGTGGTATTCCTGAGGTGCAAGGTTAAATTTCTGGCGCAGGGGATATTATTTATTTTTTATTTTCTTTTTTATTCACTTTCTAATCAGGGTTTTTATTGTAATTTTTAAAGTAAATTTAAAATGTTTTCTTTTTGTTTATGGCGCAAGTATTATACATATGGAAATGTATGTTTTTTTGCAATGGAATGAAATTTTTAAATTTTTTACTTATATTTAAATCGAAATATTTATATTGAAAAATCTGAACCACCTCAGAACCGGTAGTCTTCACGCGACGCCACAGCTGACCTTAGTAATTGCGTTTTAATTTCTTAGTTCTTAGAAATTGTCGAACTTATAGGCCATCGCTTTACCACATACTAGTTAATGAACTGGTATTTTTACCTACTGGCTTGGCTTTTGCAGGCATACGTATCACAATCACATATGAAATTGAGCGCATAAATGTGTATATATTGAACACATAAAGTGGGGGGCAAACAAATAGGGACGCGACATTTTACCAAGTTTTGGCTATTTTTCCTTGATATTTTTTTTACGAAGCTCACTATCTTACAAAAACCATGTAAGTCCGAATTTAAAACACAAATTAAGATATGTAGTTCGAAAAAGTTTCATAAAAATTTCAAGCTTTCAATCAAAATTGTCCCAAAAAAAAAACAAATGGTAGTGCATTAAAGTGCAAATTTGAAGTAGTTACGACTTACCGTTGATTTTTGGCAATTTTTTTTTATGACGGTGTCACACATTCATTTTCATACAAAATACATATGTTCGACAATTTTCTTATGTGGAGAAAAAGGCACCCTACCCTAAGCAAAAAAAGTTAAAAAAAATAACGGTAAGTCCTAGCTACATTAAACTCGCATTTTTTTTACTAAAATTTAACCCTCCATTAAGCAGACGAGTCTTGCCAGATCGTTTTGTATTATACTTGTAGAATAAATGTATTTATAAATGTGTGATCCTCTAGAGATTTTTTTTTAGTTTTCCTTAAATTTGATTACCTATTCCGAAACAAAGGAAATCTTTATCAGAAGAACAGTACAAGTCTAATTATAAGGACTTTCCGCTTTAACATAACATTCAGACTTAATGGGTTCAGGCAGACCCACTTATTACACCGTGCGACAGCTAATTTTACACACACAAAAATCAACAAACTCGCAAAACTATAGTAAGACTGCGATTTTTAGTTTTTCTATTTTACTTTTTTAAAGGACTTTGAAATTTCTGGTAGGTGATTAATTCTAAAATTACTTAAAAAATTAAGTGTAATGTAAAATAAGAATATGGCTACCAAATGAAAGAAAAAAATTTTTTTATAAGAAGCACGAACATGTCCTTTTAAAATGTTATCCTTGAAAATTATTAAAAATTCCAATAATTATAATTAATAAATAAAATTGTCTTATTAGCACTAATATGTACATGAACAAAATTCGTTGGTCTAACTCCATCAGTTAGGATAAAAAAAATTCATTAAAATTACATTTTCAGTATCTGTTCAACCTTTTTACAATTAATTGAAATCATATTAAATATATATGTATTGCATTAATATATTAATACACATCAGAAAAACTCTGTATTTTATGTTGCGGGTGAAATTTTGTTTATTTGTATAATAATGAATAGTAATAAGCAAAAAAAAAAAGAAACACATTATAGCGTGGTATAAAGCGTATTTGAATATATAAAAATGCATCCCAAAATTTCTAAATAAAAAGTTTGAAATTTTGATGAACGTTTGTTTAAATTCTTCGACTTTTTATAAGCACGAAGTTTGTAATTTTGACTTACATTGTTTTTGTTAGATAAGAAGGAGACATACTTTCAAAACTAAAAATAAAATATATTAAGGAAGCAAGAGTAATAAAGCCAAAACTTATTAAAAGGTCACGTCCCTACTTGTTTGCCCATCACTGTATACATACGCATGTTTGTAGGTACATACGCTTGAATGTACACATCTCTTTACGCTGTCGTCAATGCCAAAATATGTTGCCGCAATAGCAGCAGCAGCAGCAACTGGCTGCTCAACGAACTGTTGCTCATTATGAAACAGCAACATAAGATGGGCGTGGTGATTGAATCCATAGAAACAGAATGCCAATATTTGAGCATACATACATACATACATACATACATACATTCCTAAGTGTTAGTAGTTAAAATTGAATTTGGTGTTAACAGCAAAAACAACAAAAACAGAAGCACAAAAATCCTTTGATGAATTGGTTAGAGCAGCCAAGCAAAAAAAGATAAAATCAAGCTTCACCAAAAGGCGTAGGTGGCGACCGCAACATTGTCGAACAGCGATTAATTTGGCTGGTACAACACCCCATAGCAACGAGGCAGCGACAAAACTCCCACAAAACGAATGCCCTGAAGCGACGTTTCTAACGCGTAACTATAGGTTAGCTGTTAGGCGTGGCAAGTGCAAGTCTTTTTGAAAAGTTTGTCAAATTCAAGAATTTTCAAAAGTGTTTGCAGCTACATCTTGCATGCGTAAAGTGGCTTTCGGAAACAATTTTTATTTCCGAAAAATTAACTTTCCGTATATTTATTTCCGAAAGTGTTTGCTGCAAATCAGCGAAAAGACTTTCTGGCAAAATACGTAAAAAAAGCACAAATATTGCCACGTCTAACAGCACTTTAGAACAAACATGTATATATGTGCATAAGTTTTTCATGTGGGTGTATACATACATACATACATATGCTTGTATTGCGTGTGAATGTAAGCGCGCTTTAGTAGTCACTGACGCGTTCGCTGCCAAATTTGACACCAAAAGTTCACACTTGGCGCGGGCGGCGCGAGCATCACTCTGCCAACATTTGATCCTCAACAAAGCTGTAGACATACATATGTATGTATGTAAGTAGATACACTCCAACATACACACGTGTAACAAATGCGCTGCTGGGCATGACTCCTAAGTGGCACGCACCACAAGCGCTTGTAGCGCAAATGTGCCTGGAATAAATCGTAAAAGTTGGCGGAAACTGAAATTTTTTCGCGTTGATATTCAAATTTGAATTTTTGTTGGAGAAGAGACGGTATTTTGTAGATTTTTTATTGGAGTCAGGTGATTTTAGGGCCAAACTATTTTTGGAAATTGGCCCAAAAGCTAATTAAGTAGTAGGAAAAAATATTGCTAGCATTTTTGTATGATTTTTTTCAGCATTTTCAACTCTGTTTTATTTTGTTTTTAATTTAGTTTCTCCTTCTTTGTAAATTTTACGTTTTACACATACATAGATCTATGAGTTTTTCATAGTTTGTTATCGAAAACCAGTTGCCTCCTTTCCCCCATTCAATTCCCAGTTCTTAGCATTTTAAATATTTTTCTTTCCACAACTGTGCTCTCCTCTCATACCTTCTTTCCAATTCGTTTCAGCAGAAACATCCGCATGTGATATTTGAGGCACGCACTAAAGCCAATAAAGGATGCGCCAATTCGGGTAATTTAGATTCGTGGCGCATATCGCGGCGCACGAAACATCTTTCAGCGGGTGTCATCGATGAAATTCATCCGAATGGTGCGGGCCGATATAAGCGCGATGTACGCGAGGCGACTAAATACATCGAAACCGCCATCATAGTGGACAAAGCGATGTTCGAGAAGCGCAATGGCAGTACACGTGCCGAGGTCATACACGACGCCATACAGGTGGCGAACATTGCCGATTTGGTAAGTGAAGGAGAAGGGAGAATATCTATACAAAATTGGGTTGATTTTGAATCCGCTTTTAATTAGGAAATCTATTGGATTTTTTATTTGATTCGTCCGACAAATAAAAAAATATATGTGATTTGATTTACATTGGAAAAATCGAAAATTTGCTTGCCTTCCATAAAAAGAATTTATTTTTTTAGTTGGAAAATCACGAATCAAATTGATTTACTCCGCTTATCAAATCGCAAATAAAAATTATTTTCTTTATTTGGTCGATGAATGAAATCACAAATATTTTTTTTAGTTGCCGGCGAAACAAATCACAAATAAATTTTATTTTTTATTTGTCCAACGAATCAAATCAAGCATAAGTTTCATTCATCACTTGATTCTTCAAACAAATAACAAATTTATATTGCGGCATATTCTGGATTTCGTACGAATCGAAAATTTGAAATTTTTGTATAGAAAATGATAGGAAAATTTCATGATTTTCGATTCGTACGAAAACAAGAATACGCCCCACTATTTAGGATTTGATAAAACTTTCAATTCAATAATCAATTTTTTTTGTGGATTTGTGATTTGACAAAACCCGTCAGACCCGTTTCAGAAATCTGTCACAATTTTTAGGTGTGCCGCTCTCAAATAAATTTGACAGAAAAAATTTGTAAATGACTAAAAATATTGACAATTAGCATTCGCTGCTACATAATTGCAGTGGTAAGTACCTACTTCGCTACGACTAAACATTTTCGCATTATCAATTGTTATTATTTTCTTATATTTTTTCATGACCAATCCCGTGCACACATGGCGTATGAGCAACATTATTTGCAGCTCAGCTCATATGTATTAGGGATGTTAATTTTTTGGCTTTTTACGATCACGGGATTGTCGGGATGTCGTTATCACAAATCCGGGATCCCGGAATTAGTGCCGCGATTTAGATATTCATTAATTTTCAATGACGTAAATCGAAAAAATTTCTTCTAGATTGTTTGAGATGCTCTCCTACCATAAAATACTACTTTTTTATTTAAAGTGGGGTTTTTATTTTTTCTCCTCGACGTCAGGATTTATTTTAAAGAACTTTTGTAATTTCAGAGATATGATTAATTCCAAAACTCATTTAAAAAATGCAATGCATTGTAGAATAAAAATATGGGTACCAAATAAAAGGAAGGAAGGAAAGAAGGAAATTTCTTTAGAATTAAAAAAAAAATGTATTTTTTTGGATTCACAAGGACGAATAGGTAATTTTTTAAGCTAATAAAGTTAGAAGGACGAAATTCCAGGATGTTATTGAGTTAACAGTTAAAGTCCTTAACACAGAATTTTTTCAAAATGTTGCGAAATTTCATGGAAAAAATTTTAAAATTACATTTTCAATGCCTAACAGTCCATATGCACAAAAACTGAATCTGATTAAATTCTAGAGAATTTCTTACAGAAAAACAATCCCTGGGTCGAAATATGGTAACTGAGCATTTTCTCAGCCACTCAGTCTTCACCAGACGTATTCGTAAAGCATTCTTTTAAGTTGACAGGCGAGTAATTATATCGCACGCCAACCTGTTTTTTGCTCCCCTCTTAACTCATACTGTATGCCTTAAATACAAATGTAAACAATGGCTGAGCAAAAGTTCGAGGAATTACTAACTTTTTGAGACACACATAAGTATTTACTTTCCAAAACGAATTTCTTAAATAGCTGGCAACTCTACCGCTCGCCGACTTAAACAAAAATATGGCTTCAATAACATCCAGCGTGGCATGTGTCTCTAATCTCCAAATGATTTGAGTGTGGCGCACTCAGCAGTCTAATCCAAGATCGAACAAAAAGAAACCCAAAGCATCACGCACAAATCTTCAGAAAAGCAATTTTGCGGTTGCCCACAAATCTTGCTAGACCACGAGTATGCAGCTGCATAACTGTTGGCTGCCTTTTACGTAAAAAGCTATAAACTGTCGCATTCGAGCGCCTTGTTACCTTGCAAACCATATTCGACTGCATTCTGCTTAACAGACCGCCTTGTTTGCCAAATGCATACATACATACATACATACATACATACATACATATATACGACTGTGATCCTGTGTCAATGCTGTAGATATGCGCTGGCGAAATGAAATAATCTATGAAACGAAAGCCAGTAGAGTAATGCTTGTCCTTTGTGCCCTTTCAGTTGCCACCATTTTTGCAGCTTGCTTTTTCAAATAAATTTTCATTTCTTTTATATTTGTCCTGCACTCACTGTCCTTATGACTGCAAAAATAATTCGGCTCTTCAGCGCTGCACTTTGTGCTATTCAACAAATTTTGTCTCCTCTTTTAGTAACTGATTTTTTTTTTAAATTGAAATTAGACAGCGTCTTTAATACTTAAGATGGCGTACTTTGGAAGTATAAAAATTTAGTTTTGACTCTAGTGGCTGTTTGTATTTAGAACTCAAAGCAAATTAGATGAACTCAGCGCACAAAAGAAGCGCCTGTGCAGAAAATGTTTGTCAAGTGTACGAAATTAGAAGTGTAGAGGTGGAAAATTCGCAAAGCTATTTTAACAAATGCTTGCAAGTACGCAATTTCACGCTGCCTTTGGTTGCTATAAATAACTGAATGGAAAGCTAAGAAGTTTTAAAATTTACTGCCAGCGTTTAAGATAAAATGAATTAGTGGTGGCACATCCTACTACTGACTAAGGTGATTGACTTGGTTTTTGCAAACCATTTTCCACCTGCTTTTTAACCGACTTCAAAAAAGGAGGAGGGTAGCAATTTGTCGGAATATTTTTTTTATGTATGTTACCTTATAACTTTGGACCACGCTAACCGATTTTTATAATTCTTTGTTATTAAAGAAAAGGTGGTACCTTCGAAGTGGTCCCATATTAATTTGGACCATGGCTCTGAAATTTTTATATGAGAATTGAAGTCGATTTGGTTTTTTGCTTAAAAATTCTTGTCTGGATATCTATAAACGTTTTTTTTTTATTTATGTTAAACATTTCTTGGAGGTATTCCAAGAACCGCATCCTTTTGAATTCATGCAAAGCTCTGCACTTAATACTATTCTAATTGATTTGACGCACAATAGTTCATAAAGCACTTAATGTATAATCGCATTGAGGCACGCATTTATCTACAGCAGCCAAAAGCCATTCTTCTAAGTAAACAGTTCCTTGTGGGCTGAAAGGCGAAGCACAACATAGCGCGCCTTAAATTAATTTCCAACAACACACAGAGATCCAAGCATGTATGTATTTACGCTTTTGCACACAGCCCTAAAATTTGCCCCCCAAAGCCAAAATAATATTTACCTGACCGCTGGATCAATAAGTAATTAGTCTCTACATTCCGACCGCTCCTCTGGCTCCTATGGCCATTTACACGTATAATTGTACGACGCACACAAGCAAACGTATTTAGAAATGCTTAGAATGTCCGCTTGGAGGTGAATTGAGTTGAAGTGCATATTTAGTTGTATTCGCAGCTTAAGAGCGTTTTATTTATGTGGGCAAAAGCACAAAAACTCACTCGAATCTGGCATTTTAAGGACAGAAAATCCCTAGAAAATGAAAATTTCAACTCCAAGCTAGTATTGTAAACGCACTCTTAAAATTATGTAGATTAAACGTACGTATGCATGTACACATACTTCAATCATTCGATTAACATATAGCCAGTGCATGCAGCTCCAAATTATTTCTACAACAAACTATTGTTTCATTGTCTCATGCAGCGTATGTGGTTATATGTATGTACATATATGTACTTATTTGCAGAAGCCGATAATTTCCAACTAAAAACACATACATATGTACCTACATACATACTGTCAGGCATTTGCGCCTGTATGAATGTTATGAATCCTATTATTTGTGACATTGTCTTTTGGTTAGTGACCTTGCAACAATAGCGTATATTTCGTTTTTATCCCATAATAATAGAATGGCAACTTATCAGAAGGCTAGTAAGTGCAGACAAAACTGAACGCAACAAGTGTACAACAATTACCACTAAGCTGAGCTCACAGTCTTCGGCACGCAGTTATCAGTTTGCTGTCACATCAATCATATGCGGTGATGTTGTAATTTAATTGAATATTGTATTTTGTTGTATATATGTATTTAGGTGGTTTTTCATTAGTAGAATGAAATTTCCAATTAAATTAAAGTCTCAAAGCTGACGCTCGTTTACAGTGGCAATTTCGTAGGCCACGCAAAGTCCTGTTTTATTATTTAGATTTCACTTAAGGCTAGGCATAATCATGCCGGTGAATTCCAGATTATCGCATGCAGAAAATTTTAACAAAAGATTTACTTATAAACATTCTTCAAGTCGCTAACGGCCAATGAGTTAATCATGCGCACAAATCTCTAGGTCGTACCTATAGGAAGGTAACAATCAATAGAGTGCAGCTCAAACTTAAAAAGTGATTAGGAGGGAGTCAAAAATATAATTTATACCGAAAAGTATTATTCAGTCCAAAAGCCTACAGCCCAATTAGTTTGTCCCATTTTTCCCCTATTTTTTCCCACTTGGAACGTTTAGTAGAACACTACGTCAAAGAATCTATCTCACTAAAATTAGTGTCCACCAGAACTAGCCAATATGGAAAGAAAAATTTACAGAAATGACGCTACACGAACGGATCTAGGTATTATTTATGTCAGGAAATTACTGCATTACTTACTGCTTTGCTGATATCACGAGCTGTTTCAAAGAGGAGTAACGGTTTTCACAACTCTGTAGGCGTCCACCCCGTAGGCCTAAGTGTGATGTTCGAAAGCTAACCAAACCAATGACTATTAAAACTTTGTAAAAAATAGAATATTTCCACAAGTGAATGAAAATGTATTTAGTCTGATATTAAAAAAAAAGTAATCTGCTAGTACCCATATTTAATAGAAAAATTTCAACATCTGATTGCAGCACATTCTTTTGCTACATTTTTTATTTTACAAACGCTCTACCCTTGCAAATATATTTGTAACAAAATGAAATTAAAATCAAATCAGTTGAACCCAACTATCCGAGCTTTTACCATTAAGCTCAAGCAAAACAAAATCGCAATACTCTGTAAGGACAACACAAGCACACAATTGCTTATTTTCGAAATTCTCCACATCCCTCGAAATTTCTCTTAGAAACCAAACTCGATTCTAAAATGTATGCAGTGCACATATGTATGTTTTCTAGATGTATTTACGCATAGCAGAGTGCTAAATAGATAAACACTTCATATATAATAATATCCATACAGTATATTTGCGCATATTTACATGTGTACATACGTGTGTATTTCTCTACATAAGAAGCCTTGCCAAGATATTCGCACACAACGTTGCCATACGCAGGCAAATATTTATGAGCTTGCTTTTTGTTTGGACTTAATTGTATTTTCTAGGCTTAAATATTTTATCATCAATGCCTACAATTATGAAGATTAATTGAAAGGCTTTGGGTTGCATGCATGCGAAGAGCATTCATCTATCATTTTAAAGCATTGCAGAGCTAAGGCAAAGGGCAATAATTGAATGTATTTACACTTACATAAATAGATGCATAGTATGTACATTAGACCCTACCACTTTAGAAGCAAGCAAACAAAAATCGCCTTACACCCCCGGGTCTTAAAGTATTTTTGCGAGGAAATTTTGAAAAAATAAATAACTTTGTCGAATCATTTTCCGCTGACACCAACATTCGGCAATAAAAAATATTTAAAGTAGTTTTACTGAAATAATGAAGAAACTTCCTTAGCAAAAGTTGAATGATGTTAAGCGAACTTTAATTTTCTTACATTAGGGTGGTAGAAATTGTGATCTGATGCGTAAGTACTACAACGGGGTACTTGAGTTTTAAAATCCGCCTCGATACAAAAATATCGATATATCAATCTTTAAAATCCGACTGTAAGTGCAGAAAATAACACGAACAATGTAAAAACACCAGCTTCGGCCAAAAGAAATGTATTAATTTTATTTTCGAAATCGTCTTGAAAAAAACACTTTAAACTCAGAGGTGTGCGCCCAAGTTTTTTTTCTCTTACAAATTAATTATTTACAAACTGTTACAAATATATGTGTATGTTAGGGATGTTCGAAATTGCATTTTAGAAAAGTAAAGCCGGAATTTTGATGCTCTCACGCCCTAGTTTTATTTTATTAAAAAAAATATACCCCCGTTTTTTTAAACAAAAAATATTCAGCAGTCGCCCAAAGCACCGAAAATTTGCTATTCACTTTAAAGGGTGAAAAAAATGTCCTTGAAACTGAATATTTTTCAATATGCAAACTCTGTTTCTCTTAAGCATACTTCGAAGAATAATACCGAGTTTTTTACTTAACCTTTTTTTTTAAGTAAAAATTTATTAGGGGTGCCCCCATTGCATTTATTAGGAAAACCCATACAAAATGGTTAAATAAACAATTAGCTATTATTATTTGTAGTCTACTGAAAAAAACAGAGTTTGCCGATTGAAAAATAAACAATTTAAAGGATTGTATAGCATGTCTAAGAAAATTTTTTTTCCACATATAAAATACATGGGAAACTTTGAGCGACCGCGTAAATATTTTTGGATTTCATAACGACAGCAAGGCATATTTTTTCGATATAAAACAGTACTATTGAGTGAGAGCATTAAAATTCCAACTTTACTTTTATTGGATCACCCTAGTGTACATAAATACATACATATGTAGTTACGTATATTACGTGAGGTAGTTGCTAAGATTACGTTGCTTTGAAAATAATGAAAATGAAAATTTTCCAGTAAAAAAGCAAGAAGTTGCGTATACGCACTGCCGTACGCTACGGAGACCATGCCGCCTAAAGAGTTTGCTTAATTATAGGCATTGAAATAAAACTACAACGCATAGGTCATACACGTACATACATACATATGTTATATACAAACTCAGTGTGCCTTGAAGTTGGTTGCTTTTGCTGCCGTACAGAATGTCGCTCTTTAAGATCTACTCACAAATTGTTTTTACTAAACTTGCACTGCAGCGCCCTTTATAATTCTTTCTGTACCCGTATCTTTACTTCCTTCAGTGAATAAAATATGTGCATGTGTATGTGCTCCTTCTTCCTTGATACGACTTACGAGCTCCATTTGTTCTTGTTGCTATTTTACTATGTCACTAATCCATGCATCAGTCACTCATTGCACATACAGTATTGTATGATGTACAATACATGTATGTACATGTATTCTCCCATAGCGGCATTTATTTTCTTTTATCTCACTGCCTGTTTTACCTTCCCAAGGCAATTGTGTTTCTCTCTGCTACCCATATTTTAAGCCTCACCTCCTTTACCTCATCCTCTCTGTCATGGCCGTACGTCTAGCACTTTCGGTAAATCCATTTTATTTATTGCTCAAGTCACTGTCGGCATTCATTAGGTAATTAGTTAAGCATCGTCTTTATGTGAGTAAAGTTTCCTTAAACCGCCTCATCGTATTTATGGTGCACTATGAAAGCATTGGCTGGCTGCGTGCAAGTCGCTCTGGCGATCGTCATGAAAACATTTTTGTTATCTTTTGTGTTAGCGTAAGCTGTGCGTCTCGTGCCGCAAGTTTGTATAAGTATATGTATGTATGTATGTGGACAGTATTATGAATGGATTTGTGATTGCAGCATTGCATGTGTAGTTTATCATACGCTCTTTCAAAGCTACTAAATTGGCAGTACTTGATCTATTAGTGTTGTACCACTGTCCTGTTCTACACTCACATAAAGGCTAATTATGTATTAAACACGCATGCAGTGAAGGCCACAAGAGTCTCTGCGCACATTTAAATAACTACGCAGTTAATTCAACAAAAATCTTGAAATGGGAATCAGACGACAAAAACTTCCTCGGAGTTTAGACTGAGTATAGGGAACAGCCAATTTTCGAGCAATAGATCGGAAACTTTTGAGCTCCTCTGGCAGACTTATTTCCCTGGATGTTCAAATATCAGGGAAAAGTACCACTTCTACTCAAAATCTTCAGCTTCGTACCCTAAAAGTCAACTAGGCTGGGCGGTGTCAGAACGCCAAAACGTTCTATAAATTGGGTTTCTGCAATATATCAATGCCTTTTTTAAATAAACTTCTGAAAATAAGGAAAATAAATGAGGAATTCGAGAAATTCGCATCTCAAGAGGGAGTTCTGTTGACTCTACTATCTATAGAATATCGCTGTTTCCAGTATACATACTTAAAAAAGATAGAAAGTTGCGGCGGCATTGCAATGCTGGTTATCGCTAAACACCTAACAACACTAACTAGTTTTAAGGAGGTTTATCACGGGTGTTACGTTCGAAGTTTGGTAATCAGTTCCGCATGGTGCAAACTTGTTCTGTTATTTAAGAAACACCGATTTTTCTACGTCACATTATCTTACGTGATGTAACATTCAGGAGGACTGAAAAGGCTTATTAATTATATCTGATCTTGGAAAGGAAAGTAAATGGAGAAGCCAACATAATTGAAAGGAATTACAAATCTACAATGATAACCTGATTACGATCATTCCGTGGATCCAGAACTACAGGACGATCAATAGGTGCATCTACCGGTTACCATCCCTACTCTCGTACTGACACCAGTCTCCGTCACCAAAGATATCCACCGACAAAGTGCCGACACTAAAAACCAGTCTTTCTAATTCCCTTCGCCACTCCATCTCTCCCTTTTTCATCATCGCCGTCACGTCTGATCTTACTAAACATCAGTATGTTTCTCTCCCTCATCACCGCCGTTATCATTTTGACCGTAAAACCGTTCATCTCTTTGCTGTATTTTTCCCTCTATTTTGGTATGACAAGCAGCCAGCATGCCAATGGTAAGTCAAAACCAAGGTTTCGTGAAAATACCTCTATATTAAAAGCGAAATATCGACAATAAATAATAAACAAAAAGAAATATAAGACGACTAATTGTTTTATTTACCCTCGGCCTAGAGCTCACAAAAGAAATAAAAGATTACAACAAAAGGCAAAAAATAAACCCAACCATAAATGGATTATGTTATTTCCTTCTCAGCCAGCCTGAAACGAGGGGTAGGTTTCTATTTACTGGCGAGATTTCTCGAGTTAAAAAACAAAAAAAAAAGTTTTAAGCTGCCTATAAAACGATAAGTTGCTTTGAAACCAAAATTTATTGTATTATTTTAAAGATATTTTGGAACAGTACTAACTAAAGACAGTCCTCATCTTATGAAACATCACCAATATACGTATGTAAGTAGTTTTAGCTTTTTTGGAAGGATTTGAAAATCGAGAGATCGACCTAGAATTAATAACCATACAGGGTTGCATTGTTACCTGTTTTATGTCTGTGAGAGAAAGTCAAACTTATTGGGCTTAATTCACAAGAAGTGAATTTAAGCTCCGACTCGATTTTCAGTACAAATTCTTGAGTTTGAGCTGACTTCTTCAGTGCAAAACTTTAGTCTGAGCTTAAGTTCACTTTTTATGCAGGAGGCCCATTATTTCCACTTAGAAAAACACCCCTGAAATAGGTACCTACATCTACTCGGTGAGATAAATATTTTTCCTTTCTATACTTACTTGGTTATGAGGGCGTTCATGAAAATGTATTGCTTTATTCATCATATAAAAATGGAAAATTATAACTTAGTTTTAATTATTTGCAAAAAATACTTTACTCAAAAAGCTTTTCATTTGTTATGCAATTTACTAACACCTTCGTCTCCCTTCTTCTTTTCCACAGTACTTTCGCACGCTCAATACCCGCGTATCGGTGGTGTACATAGAGACGTGGGGTAAGAACCAGGCCGTCATCGATGGCAGCAAAGACATCAGCAAAGCCATATCGAATTTCAATGACTACACATCGCGGAATCTCTTCCAGATCGAACGCGATACTACACAGCTGCTAACGTAAGTAAACAAACTATACAGAATACAAACGAAAAGATTTAGCTAAATAAATGTGATGACTAAATCACAAGCGTTAGCACTCACGCCAACGCACAGTGCATTAGGCAAATACACAAATAGCTAGACAAATAAAATTAATTGAAATGGACTTAGCAGAGCTGAATTGTATTGAATGGAATTGAATTCAATGGTATTGAATGGAATTGAGTGTAAAATCGTTACGCGGCAAATTTAATAACTATATCGCTCTAACGCTCGACTGTGTATTTAGTAGCTATTGGGTAACACTTGGCGCCGCTAATGCACACAGAAATGACAATTAAATTCACAAATGCATAATTAACGCACAATCGGGGCAGTGCGGGAGCCAGTAGCGGCAACAACAAAAGCTGATTGCCTGCAGATAGAATGTCAGATATGTGCCTATACATTCATACCTACAGACATATATATGGATATAAGGGGCATTCTTTTCGGACGGTAAAAGACAATTAAATTAAATAGAAATTGCGGTTCTAAAATGGCTAACAAAAATGATTTAGTGCGAATATTTATGAATTATTTTCACAGAAACTGTGTGTCGAACCAAAAAAGTACTTACATTATTTTTGAGGAAAATTGTTCGTAGAATTTTTGAACTTATTTTAATTTTGATATTTCATATTTTTTGCCCACAATTTTTATTTATGAA